ATATTTGAGAAACTTCTGAAATGTTTTAATTGTCTGACATTTTCAAAGGTGTTGATTCACCAATTTTTTGAGGGTTTTGTTTATGTTGTATTGGAATTCATTATATTGGACGGCATCCCTGTCACATTATACATCTTTTAAAAGTGTACGGTAAGAAAGAGACGGCAAAAAGGTAGTTTGAAGCAGCTGCTTGCAAAAAATTTGAATGTTTATTAGGGCTGCAATTAATTCATTGCCGATTAACCTGCAGTAAAATTCCAGGAAATAGTTTTAAAATTCCTGTAACAATTTCACAGCAAAACTGTGCATTGTCTTCAACATAAATCTCAGTTCTCTCAAATTGATTTGTGCACGTCAGAAGCTTTCTCTTCTCTGGGTCTTTTTGGAAGTCCTATTTACAGTCTTCCTAAAACTCTGGCTTGCTGCTACACCGAATCAAATGTTAAGTTAGAGCAATAACACAAAACAGTAAATTCAAAGTATAGCCTCCTCTCTCTCTAGTTTATATTCAACACAGATGTATTGCATCTCAGCGTGCTCCCATTCACTAACAGCATTACTAATCGTGTGTCCTTGGAACGGATGGGTCCAAATGAATTAAATGGATTGGCACACTCAGTGCCTCAATTAGATTAAGATTAGGTTTGTCTAACAATACTTTCTCATTAGCAAGGCAAATTGCCTAAAAGGAATTATATGTTTTATTTTGAACTAGCATTGTTTAAAAAAAATGTTTATGTACTGGTAGGCTCAACAACAATAAAAAGGCATGACTGTGTTTATAATTCTGTGAATGTTCACTGATTCATGCGGTTTGTGCCTTGACTGTAAGGATGATCCCTAATCTGGACATCAAGGACAGTCTCAGTCTGCTGGTGTCTCGCTGGTTTCTCCTGAATAAGAAAAAGCTCCATCTTGCCAGTGACCTAAGCCACACATAACTTCAGACCAATATGTTTGGAATCCAGTGGGCCTACAACCAGCCTCATTTATGCCAAGAGCAAGCCCACTGATTCAGGTTCCTCAAGCTCCAAAACACACTCCGCAATCTGGTATGGCCCACTGCATTTTTATCACTGTTTCTACTGTTTTGTTTAAATTCATATACGTCTTTGTTAAAACTAACGAAGGTGTTTCTCTGCTTTATAGTATACCATCCTGCCAACTCAGGAACTGGTTCATCAACATCTTACATGCATCAGCACACTCACCAGCAGCATGCCTTCACTCCCATCCTTCACCAATCCTTGACCATGCTGCCTGCTCCAGTGGTAGCTCAGGACAGAATGGTAAGGAGATGTGTCACAATACTGTATTGTTAACACTGACTGTAGTAATTTTAATTCATTGCCATCTAAAGCCTCTTTTGACCAGACTGTTATTTTGCCACTTAGCTAGCTAATTTAAATATTTTTAGAGCTATTAATTTAATGTTATTACCTTTTGCAGCAGTTCAACCTCCCCAGAGGAACAATAAAGCCCTCTTTTGTTCCTGTTGCTGCCTTTCCAAGATCAATACAGAAGTCCTTCAGGTCTACAGTGAGTCCTGCATCAATTAAAAATGACATGTCAATCCAGCAAATAAAATGGAGAAAGATAAAACTGCTTTTTAAAAGCCAAAGCTCAATAAAGACTGTGTTAGATTAAACAAGATTTAATGAATCACCAGTGGTGATTCACCATTAACAGTTTGTTGCTAAATGTTTCCCCCTTTTTCAGAAACCATCGAGATGGAGTGCGCTGCATGTCTGTATTGCATGGAAGATTTACTACCACAAGCAACTCAAGGTAATAATCAAATGCAGTAAAGTTTTAGTCACATAAACATGTCCATTTAAAAAGTATTCAGCCTTTTGTGGCATTTTGTCTGAAATTTAAGTCAGATAAAGTGGATTTTGATTTTTTGTATATTAAAAAAACATAATGTGACAAATATATTCAAATTATGATTTTTTTTATCATGTACAAACATTTCAAAGTCAGATCTACACATATAGGAAAAATATTATTAGACATTTTTGAAGTCTAGAAAACTCTGGTATCTTTTAGTTAAGACATATTGTCATTGTGGAGTTGTATACTTGTCTGATTTCAAAGCTAATTTGAAATTTACAAACTGTAATGCATAACACAGATACAGAAAATGCAGCAAAAACCCAAACCCAAAAGTCTCCATCAGGAACTGATACCTGAGTATCGGGCCTCCAGTCGACCTGACTCAGCACAACACAATGAATCAGACCAGCCCTCCTGCAGACCCCCTAGTCTGGGTGAGTATAAAGCATAGAAATACTTTCAGCAACAGTATGATACATGATATTATTAACGCTCATCTGCTACTCATGTTTAGACTCTCCACATGGACACTCAGGAAAAACAGCTGAAAATATAAGCCACTTCAGCAGACCCGCATCTTCACCAGCGTTTTGCAACAGCCGTATGGCCAAGAGGGAGAAGCTTCACGGAGAGAAACTGGAACAGTCCCCGAACCTGTGCTGTAGAGAGAAACTCGCAGAGAAGCAGAAGCATAGGGACCACCAAACTGACGCAGAAAAGGATTTACCTCTTACAGACAAATCTTGGGAACAAACAATGACTCAAGAAGTCAACGGTGGACGCAGGGGCTTGCTTGACAGGAAAAGGCAGCTTGAGTGCCACAGCTTCATTAAAGTGAAGAGGATAAGGCAGGGAATTGTGGAAGACCAGTTTGGTTCTTCTAAGACTTTGTGCACTGATCCATCTCCTTTCATTACAACTCATATGCATCCATCGTCTCACACCGTACCAGTGCAACATATAAACAATTTGTCTAGCTTGTATCCTAACAGCAGTAGATGTAATGTTACCAGAGCTCCTGGGGGACTCATCTCTTATCCAGGGGCTGGAATGCATCCCTACCAAATTGCTACATGGCAGCCAATGTTGGACGCTCACATGAGAATGGATCTCCACATCAGACAAAATGTCCTAAAAGACAATTCATTGAATACCAGTGAAACGATCAGGATACCTCTTACAGCACAGCAGCAAAAAGAGGCTTCTTCTCATGGTGTCTTTATGCCACCTCTTTATCTCCCCCTTGCTTTGAGGCAGCAGGAGACTGTTTACCTCAGAGGGAGGGGGTTTCTACACTCAGGCCACATGGACTGTCACCTCCATCACTTCAGACATCAACTCCCTCATCCTGGCTTTCTGACAACATCCTACCTAGGGTCTTGAGTCTTCAGGGTCTACTCACTTATTTACAATGTCTGTGAAGTTCACAGGTCCTCTTGCTCTGTGCATGAACTCAATGGAGCTGGATGTTATAAGTGAGTGAAAGTATGAAGCTTCTGATTAATGTCTCAATAAAAGATAGTCTTTGCACTACAACTGCGTTAATTAGGGGGTGGAGATTCTTAATAAAGCATGGTAGTCTTGAAATTTGACAGCATTGATTTCCTAGATGGATTTTTGCAATTGTGAAATCATACTTAGGCTATAAGGATTAATTTGTTAAAATGGTGATTTGATTAAATATATTAAAGAGGTCATATTGTGCTTTTTGGCCTTTTCCCTTTCCTTTATCGTGTTGTATATATATTTTGTGCATGTAATAGGTTAGCAAAGTGAAAAAGCCGAAAGCCCACTTGAAAGGGAGTTACCATCTCCCAGAGAAAACACTGCTCCAACAGCTCTATTGTAGTCCAGCCTTTAGTTCCATAATTTATCTGCTTCACTTTGTAACATGCATCATAATTGCCTAGTGGCTAGTGTGGCATCCCTCAAAAACACTGGTGGAGAAACACAATGAGCAGCAGCACACACAGTAACAAGACGCTGCCTCCCTTCATCCCCACCCTCCCTATAAAACTTTAGATACCCTCCAGGCAGTCAGTGGATAAATAATAAAAATTAAGTTGTTACTGATGTAAAGACAGAGCACAGTCAAAACATTACATATGAAAGATAAATTTGTTACATATTAATAACTTACCACTAGTTTAATCTAGTTTGTGAAGCTAGTTCTGGAACATTTACAGCTGAATAAAGCCCTGGGTTAGAAGCTTGTAGACTAGGTACTGCGCATGCGCAAATTCAAACAAAGAATTGAGATGCTTCACTCTGTAGCTAAAATGGAGCGGTCAACACAGGGTGAACAGAGGTGCTGCAGCAATGTGCAGAATGAAATAGGGCGTTTATTGAAAATTACACAATGTAAACCTATTCTTGTACAACCCCTTAATAGAATTATGAACCTACAAATTAGGATAATGTGACCACTTTAAAATGCTCAAGCTCATGTTTGGATCAAGAGTCTACAGCCATGCTTGTGTTTTTGTGAGGCGGTTCTTTGGAACAGCGGTGCTTTGAGCTAAATGCTAACATGCTCATGTTTAGAAGGTAATGTTTACCATGTTCACCATCTTAGTTTAGCACGTTAGCACGCTAACATTTGTTAATTAGCACTAAACACAATGTACAGCTGAGACTGGTGGGAATGTCATTATTTTTGTAGGGCTGAATGATTTTGAAAACATGAATTGTGATTATTCTGACTGATATTGCAATTGCGATATGATTTGCGACACAAGGGGAAAAGATAATTTTTACATAATTTTGTTTTAATTGAAAAACGTATTAAAATTAATTATTGTGTGACATATGTGTTTTTTTGAAGCGATCTGTATCAAACAAAGATGTTTTCTAAAGTTTCTAGAATATGATGTGTAGGCAAGGACATCTCTGAAGCACGACAATATATTTAATTTTAAACGGTATTCTGACACACACATCGCCTTTAACAAATATTGCACCTTCTGCAATTTGAAAATTGCACTAGACCATATTGTGATTTCGCTAAAATTTTGATTACCTGTTCAGCCCTAGTATTTGGTCAATATTGGACACATACATATTTTGACCAGATGGTGGCACCGGTTGAGATACTTCAGTCTGGACCAAAGGGGTAGACCAATCAACATTGTCATTCCTACAAAAAACAAACAACAAAAGCTCCTTTTGTATCAAAAATGTATTTAAAATCTGTTACAATAAAAAAAGCATGTCTTATGAAATCCTTTAACCAGGCAACATCATGGAAATATCATAGAAAATGGAGTGTGAAAAACATGAAGAATTAATAGAGCTGAGTAATGCTTCTAACGCATTCACATAAGCTTTGTCAGAAACAATAACCTGTGTGTAACAGGCAATCCCATTCATGTGACATGTCACAAAGCTAAGCGGAGGCTTTAGATCTGCTATTTTGAATGCGTGGTCTGAGCCAGCGTAGAGATAACCACCTCAATGTAACACCACTCTAAAGACGCTGCAGACAATGAGAAAACTTTGGCAAGCAAAAAAACAGCTCTAGTGATGTCTCCACTAACAGCTCCACAGCAAAATATACCACAAGAGGCAAACCACATTCATTGCATAACAGCTACAATAGAGCCTACAATGGACGCATGGTGCAGTGCAGCAAAGAGGAATCACACCACGTCCATGCCCAGGCCCCTCGCAACCTCCGTAAGGGCCTGGACTGCTCCAGATGTCCCACTACCATCACAGTCCTCCTGAGATAATCCCCCAGGCTCCTCCTCAATGTGAGGGATGGTGCTCATGACACAGTAGACAGGAGAGTCACTGCCCCTGGGGCTGGCCTGAGACGAAACGTCTTCCCCACCAGACAGCTCTGAGGAGTATGACGAGGATGAGCTGGAGGAGGGCGAGGAGGATCCTGCGGGAGGGCTTCGGCCGCTCTCTGGTGTGACTGCAGCCCTCTTGTTCCGGCTGCTGGTTCTCGTACTTTTCCGAAGGCTCTGTGGCTTTTTGGCCATGTTCTTCATGATCTCCTTTGTCACTTCCACAGTCTCAAAGCGCACCATGTTTACCTTCAGGAAACCATCTACATCCTTCCTGTATCTGTGAAGAAAGCACGTGGCACAACACATAACATATTTACCTTAGTGTATACTTTTCTTAGAATTTCTTGAAAAACATTTGATCTTAATCTAAGAAATGGCTGTTTCAGAGGTGACTAGATGTTGTTACTTACCTAAAGCGGGAATGTCCAGAAGGCCATTTCAGCTCATGCTTCTTGCGAAGGTGAAGTGTGAGAGTGTAACACCAGGAGAAGACCTTATCACAGATATGGCATTTATATTTTGACATCCCCCCAACCTGTCGGTGAAGATTACTCATCATTATAATAAGATTACAGCAGGTTGTAATGATGATCTAAAGAGGTTAGATGCTTTATGCTGGATGACATTTGGTGCTAACAAACCTCGTGTGCTCTCTTGAAGTGGTGATTCATGGTTTGGAATGTGTGACAAGAATAATCACAACCCTCCACTGTACAGCGATACACGGTGCCCTCATTGTGAACCTCAGTGTGCTTTTGTAGATCGCGCTGGTTCTTAAATCTGTAAAAAATAAATAAAACATTTGAAAAATATATGACAACAGGATTTTTTTAAGTGCAACACAGAATACACCTTAAATCCAACTTTACACAAAGGTTATGTTTTTACTAACAATTTTACACATTTTCAGATCCATACAAATGTACTGTCAACTACAGCTGTTGTCAACTGAGCTTCTAATCAGCTGTTTGTTTGTCTACCTCTTGTCACAGAAGTCACATGGGAAGGGCCGCTCATCACAGTGGCGGAACCTGATGTGGATTTTCAGAGCTGCCAAGGTGGTGCAGGTCATGTCACAGAAGGGACACTTCACCTGATTCACTGGTAGTCAAAGTAACAAAAATAATTAAATACCTGCCAAATGGCTCATTACAGACTGGCCAACAGACAGTCAACTTGGGTCATCATTGATCCACCATGCTCCTTTTTCAACTACAGATTACAGTAATTTTTTTTTTTTTATACTATATTATTACAGATCATTGGATGGTCATGGATGCATGGAACGATGCATTTAAAAAAAACACGTCAGAGAATAATGCGTTACTCTTTCAATTAATCTGACATGCATCAGTCCTTACATAGCTGATGCTTAGCTATCAAAAAATGCTTAGGCTTCACCCAATCTGATCTTGGACATTATCACCTTCATGACTGTATGATTTCTATGAGCCTGGACTGTATCACAGCCTAAAATGCCTGACTGGAAAACCTTTTTTCATGCACAATTAGTGAATTCAATCTTTAACAAAAAATAATTAGGTAAACATTGTCAAGCAGCCGTAATAAAAATCTTATAAAGAAAGATGTATATTTAACATTTTCCCATCTACTTTAACATGATATTACACAATAGTTACAACATCTGGGTAACACAAAAATTTCAAATTGTGATTGGAAATTGGAAATCTGAGATTAGACTTGAAGAAAATGATTACCATGCTGACGAACATGATCCCTCAAAAGCCTCTCGCTGGAAAAAGCTTTGCCACAGTGCTCGCACACCAGCGACTCTGTTCAAATGAGATGAACGTACAGAAGTCAGCATTTACAACGCAATACATTTAGCACATCATCATGTAAGACAAATAAAGTGTCCTTCTCACCTACTGGCTCGGCCTGCCTGTGTAGGTGGTCAAACAGCTTTGTGTTGCTGGAGAACATGCTGCCACATGTAGGACAGGCTACAAGTCTCTCCTGAGTGTGGCTCCGCATGTGTTCTCTCAAACGGTACCTGATCTTGAAGAAAGCATCGCAGCCTGCAAGAGAAACATGAAATGTAGATAACCAGAGCAAGTGACAGTTGGACATACCAGTAACATCTCTTTAACCTCCTCTTGCTCAGTCATACCTGTCCAGTGGCAGAAGAGAGCCTGCTGTTGTTGTGAGAAAGACTGCGGCTCGGCACTTTCAACATGATTGTCCACATGTCTGTAGAACCACTCGGGATTGTTGAATGAACTCTGTATAAAAGACAAAAATATAAATTGTATAATAATGGTGCTATTAATCTTTTGATGACCGGTGAATAACTAGAAATACCTACATCACAGTGTTCCCACTGGCAAACGTATCCATCTGATCCCTCAGGAACCAGGTTGTTGCTGTGCAAGCCTTGGTTGCAGCTGGGCAGATCAGGACGGGATTTGAGCAGCTGTGAACCGACGAACTTGAGCTTACCGTGGTAGTTGTGGAAGTAAGCATGGACCTCCAGCTCCGCAGGGCTACCCATGGATAGAAATTCACATCCATTCCAGAGACAAGCATACTCATCTAAAATAAGACAGGGAAGGAGTACTTATTGTTTTATTATGTCAGCTTTCAGAGAGGAGCAATAGAAAGCTTACTGACTAGAAACATCACTGGCATGGGATGTGTACGGCCCTGGACCATCCTCAGTACTGCTCCATTGATAACAGTCTATTTCTGTCTACCATTTTATGATTGCTTTTGTATTACTGTATATTGTCTGCTACATAGCAGAAGGGAATTACAAACTTAATTTCGCTTTACAGCCTGTTGTGATGTGCCAAATAAACCTGACAGTTATTACAGAATGCACAGGTCACTGTCTCAGCGCATGCTCAAGTCCATTGTGTGGCTTCATTCATAACAGAGAAAATCCTGTCTAACTCCAACCGAGAACTTCACTCAAATGTTGGAGAAACTGCTGGGGGCCCGGGTGTAGATGAAGAACAGTTGTTATTATTAAAAAAAAAAAAAGATGCCATTTAAGTCATGTGGGCAGAAAATTGTTGTTGCTTCGAGAAATATACCTTTGGTTCCCAGAATGTCATGCAATATGACAGGTGCATGGCGAAGAAACAGTACAGGCATAAAAATCACACACTTGATCACATTATGTTTCAGATGCAGCAGTGCATCTAGATAATGCCACTAGAGTAGTTAAAATGAGATAATGGAAGCCAAAGGCGTTATTCAAATCTAATTATAATGGTACTTATTCTTATAGTAATACCAATATGCCTATTTTTACATTTTAGCAAACATGTGCCTTATAAACAACTATGTGCTAATTAAATGTTACTCAGTGTCATTAATTTATTGGTTAATACATCGATCAATGCGAGATCTATTGCAAGTTTCAAGAAACTGTGAAATTTACTGTTACAGAAAAGCATGTGACAATGTTTCGCTCTTAAGGACAGGAAAACCAAGCAAGTGCAATTGACAAAACCAACAAGAGGAGAACTACACACTGTCATTTTTAAATGCCTCTTACTAAAGGATTGGCTACATCTGAATAACAGGTAAATACTGAACATAGGAACTTTCAGAGATGTCTGTCATTGTTTCTGATTTTGTTGTCTCTCTTCACGGAACTTACTGTACTTACTGCACTGCGGTCTTTTGTTAGAGAGAGATAAACTGATATTTCCCTTGTGTTTGTCTCGTATCCTCCTTACTCACCCAGCTCCTCTAAGGCATCGTTGTCTCCAAGGTAGTCCTTTAAGTGCAGTGACATATGATCGCTCAGCGCCTCCATGGTGTGGCCCTTGAAGTTGCATGAAGCCCACTCACACAAGACCTCAAAACTGTCAAGCCTCTTAGTTGTCATCATGATGGTGGTCACAGCGTGTTCAGCTGCTGCTGCACACACCCAACCCTGGCCACCTGAACAGAAAAACATACAGCGAAAAAGATAAACTGTGGGCTACAACCTCATAGCTAAGAAGCAATTTCTAATTAGTATGTAATGCTAGCTAGAGGTGGCTGGACATTTAAATACAAGTTAACTACGTTAACTATAACCTTATAAAATGTTTTAACCGACGTTAGCTCAGCTTAGCTGAGAAGTTATGCATCTTTCTGGCTGAGGGTTACATTACCTAGGAAACATTTACAATCGTTTTAATTTCTAAGTTAACTAGTTAGTTAACGAAACCAGTAACTAGCTAACTGTTGATTATTTCCAACTTAGTATGCTGTGTTTATATAAAAGTTCATTAGTATTTTAGCTAACAGTCTAGCTACCGCTCAACCTGTCACAAGGTTGCACTCTCGTTAATTATATTCTTTAACCGTTTAACATGAGAAATATTTAACATCTTAATGGAGGCATTTGTAAACACACACTAATGTTTCTGTTGTGACACCCAACGTTTTATAAATGCTTCTTACGGGTATTAATGTCACTTGCAGCAGCACCTTTGGCTTTCTTCCCTCCTCTCAGCTTGTCTGGTTTTGTTTATTTCCTGTCCGTGAAAAAGGAAGTTCTTCTTCTTCGTCTGTTTTTCAAAACGAGTGACACGAAGAGTATTAGTGACTCCTACTGTACCGGAGTCATCTTCAGCGTATAATGAGATGTTATCTGAATGAAACCGAAAAAATCCAAACTATAAAAAAGATTTAGAGGAAAAAACTCGAACTAGCCTGCAAATTACACTGGATGTGCTGTTATTATGCATATTGCTGCACAGTAGGCCTACTTTACATGTGCAGTGACACTGAAGAAGATTAAAATGCACTTCTGCCGAAAGTCGTTTTCTCCTTCGTTTATTTTGTTGTAACCACAAGTCTTCATGCCTAAATTTATCTTTTACTAACACACAAAACTCTACTGTATACAGATTTCCCTTAAACATACACAGTAAGTAAACTAAAGTAAACTACTGCTTGAGGCCAGTCACCCCTTCCTATTTTTGAGTGTTAAACAAATTAGAACCGTGAGTTAACTTATAATCTTATTTATTTGGCTAATATTCTATTATTGTTTGAGTGTTTTATGGTTTTGTATTGCATTCAAAATAGATTGTTTAGTAAGGCATAGGAGGTACCTATGCTGAAATTGTGGTGTCCTGATTTACTCTATTAATAAAATCCTTGGATTTTAGTGTTCTGATTTGTAATATTTTCTTTGTGATAGGCCCTACTTAATGTTGAAAGCCTCATTCATTCATCCATCCGTCCTCAATTGCCACTAATACATTTTTGGAATGGTTTAGTTGAATCATTTAGTTGAATGTACAACTCACACCAGACGTTCTGTGAGCCATCATCATCACTGTAGTTTTATTTTCATGTACGTAATAATCCTGACATAGAGCCTGACTATGTTGCTTGTTAGCAACAGAGGCTAAAGCCAAAAAGAAAGAGCGGTCATTCATACCTGAAGGAATTACATATCCCATCCAGCCTGCAGACACACTGGACACCCTCAGGAACTGGAGGTTAAGGAGAAGGAAATCTGAGCTACCTTGCTTGGCCTTTTTATCCAGGTTCACATGATGCCATGAGATTGTGCAGTATATCCTGTCCACTAGAGGTCATAATTTGCTGACTATCAGCATCACATTGTGCAAGGTCTTGACTGTTCAAGAAGTATTAGATTTTCATGAAGGGGCATGTCTCCCAATGTTCCAAGATGATACAACTCAAATGAAGTCACACATATTGTACACTGATTTCAACAATGCAGTTGTTCAGAACAGCTATTTGTGTTGTGGTGGACAAAATACAAATGTGAATTTCTTTCAAAGACACATTTCAGAAATCTCACTTCTACCCTTTCAACACAAAAATAATAAGCTATTTAAATAAGACTGTAACCAGCCAGACAGAAGGGGAGGGGACAGAGCTTAGGCAGTGCCATCGCTGATCTCTTATTCAATATTTCATGCTGCTCTGCAAACTCGAGGACCCACAACAACTGAATTATTTATGCAGTTTTATGTCAGGATGACTGATTCACAGAAAAACGACCACCAGCATCCAAAAGCTAGCAAGTGAATTAACTGAAAAATAATCAAATAATGTTTCCATTTTCCATTTTCCCTTTGTTTAATAGAGGCCATTTTGCATCTCTTAATTAATCCGTGAACTGTTACGAAAAATGGAGAGAACAATGCATGGATGACACCTCCTGTAAAGGAAAACACCTATTAAATGTTAGCTGAGTTTTGAGGATTTACACATCTGCAGGGAAACAACATGTCTACTCTTTAAAATACCTTACAGTCTGCACTTACTTTGGCCTCTAGGGGTGCTGTAGGAAAAGAATCTAGGCCTGGAAAATGATTTCTCCTGTTTTCACTTCCAAATAGAATCGCAATTAATCAGATATCAACAACATTTTTACATTTAAGCATATACCATCTATTTTTCTGAATAATGAATGACAGCAACACAGTGAGCACGATGTTGCATTTTCAGATTTAGTTAATGTTTGCCTATATATACAATTATAAAAAGGAGGGAAAGATAAATGACTAGAGAAAAAGACACCAATATAAACATAATGAACACTACAAGAAAGGGCTTAAAAAACATCTTAAACTCCCCCTTTAGCCATAGTAAATTCCTCTTAAAACTACATTATTAGTGAAGTACTGGTGCAAATGTAGAGAAAATTTTGCTTATATAACTATGTAAAGGTTAAAATTTCTAAGCAACATTGTTGCAAAACAAAAACAGCAAATGTATAGCGCATTTATACATGACACTTTGGGAATAATGGCTTTTCACCTTTAAGTTTATTTTGTGTTCTCTCATTAGTTACTCATGCAAATTAACTGTGCTATTAATTAAGTATTTAGAAAAATAAATAGATTGTATTCCTTATTACTGTAGCATTCAAAGGCATCAAATACAAAAAAGATAAAACAAATGATTATTTAAAAATGAATTCTACTTTGTTGCAATATTGCTGCAACTCAAAGGGAATATTTTGACAGATTATGGGTGTGACGGCAGACTACTATTCAGTTCCATTTACCAAATATATTTAATAAATATTAATGCTTAACAAAAAGGATACAGTAAGTCACAACACAGAATTCTGTATCATCATTTTAATCAGAGTTCATTCAGAGCAAGCTGAGAATACAAGCACAATATCACAACATGTCTGCAGCAGTATGACATTGTCATAACATCATTTCCCTCTGGTCTGACAACACACAAGGTCCAAACCAGACAGCATATATGATGAGAGATAATAGCACCAGGGTGTTGGAGTGCATAGCAGCACATCTAGTGGTTGGATCGGACTTGATGCTAGCAGGCAGCAGGCTGTAGAGGTCAGACACTAAAACTCTCTCTCTCACACATACACACACACAAACACACTCACTAAGGCTAAAACTGGAAGCAGACTCACGGTGGTTAGTGCTCAACTTCACCCTCACACACTGCAGCCATGTTGGCCGCTAAGGGTATTACTGTAGTAGACTGTGTTTACGACCAGAGAGGGAAAGGGTGTGATCACATTTTAGCAAAAACACCCCACGTCACGCTCACAATGGATAGATGTGATTTGCGCATTTTCAGACAGCAGCATTTTAAAGAGCTGAACTACAAGTCCTGGCCCATTCCTTGTCCTTCAACACCTGGAGAGATCAGCCCATTCAGAGTGAAAATTGAGTACATACAATAGGTTCTCAGACCTATAAGCATAACACTTTTTATCTTGTTTATGCAAAATTACAGTGTCACAGCTCAGAGGAGAGGATGGCGTACAATGTCACAAAATACTGAGTCACTGCAGTTTAATGCCCTTGGTTTAATGGGAACTGCAGTATTCCCATTAAAACAAAGGAGTGGTTCCATTTAGATTGCAAGAAGTATGTTTGTGGGTGAAACAATATTGCTGGTGTGTTTATTTTATAGCTTTAACAGCCACTAGACTATGATTTTACTAACTGCATGTACTTTTTGTTTTTCGGTGTGGCAAGTGTCTATTACTACACATGCATTATAATTTATAATTGAAAAGGACTCGCCCCTATAAATTTATCTTTAATGGCTCAATTTACAAGCTAAAATGTGACTGTGACATAAAGTCTGCTAAAATGTTGCTACTCAACCAAAAAACAGGGATCCTGCATGCAAGCTGTAGCAATTATATTACAGTTCATTTGGTTTCTTAGCAACCAAACTGATGAAACCAGATATCATCCAGAACAATGAAATGAAAACCAGGACCATACAGCGGAGGCACTGTAACTAGGAAACGCAACCGTAAAACAGATTTTGTATTTTCACAAAACCTCTCGTGATACAGTCTCAGAGAAAAAGCATCCCCTTGACATTTTGTACAATCATTTTAATACTGATCTGAATTGTCATCCATTCAGACAAATGCCCTTTCATACACATATATGTGTACAGATGGCTCTTTTTTCATAGCTTAATGCCAAACAGAATTCATATAAATAATGTGCAAATCATGTGCTCAATGATATAAAGCGGTTCCGTGCACCAAAATACAAGGAATCACATCCGTACACACCCACATACACACTGTTTACAGTGAAATTATTTGCATTATTCTACAAGCTCAAGATCAGTGCCCATTCAAAGGTGAATAACATATGACAGGACAGCAAAAACAACAGGTAAGGAAATAAACCAAAGGGAAGAAATTTGCCTAATTCAATCGCGCACACAAAAGAGTACTACTTTTACTGCTTTGCTTCAGCCAGTCTATTGCTGATCTCTTTGCTCTTCTTTGTGACAACTCCCTCTGGTTTGGGTTCTGGGGCACCCAAAGACGGTTTCTTCTTGGCTGACTGGGAACTAGCAAGCTGCTTCTCTTTTGATTTTTTCACCATCTTCCCTGTTGTTGTTGTTGGCGTCTTTTTTGGTTTGGTGCGAGACACTGGTTTATCCACCTAAGAGAAGAAAAGTGAAAGCACTGAGATTAAACTGTTTCAAAATAGTAAATTAAACTTAATCTGATGTTAAAGCAATAGATCAATATTTTGGAAAATGCATTTGTTCGCTTTGTTGCCAAGAATTACATGAGAAGGTCGATACCACACTCATGTCTGTCCATTAAATATAAAGCTACTGCCAGCCACCGATTAGCTTAGCTTAGCATAAAGACTGTTCAAAGGTTCTGTCGAAACCTTCTGTCTTTCCCGTACACTGCCCTAACCTTAACCAGCCTTACCAATGGAGGCAACGAGTACTAGCCAATCAGAGGCAGTGTTGTCAAAAATCTGGTGGGGAAAAAATATTGCGTGCCAGGAGCAGTGACTTTCTGGATTTGTGTATCCATGGGAAGGTTCCAGGAAGTTTAAAATAATCAGCTGGCTGTAGCTTCAGATATAACAACAGATACTTTGTGAGAGTGGTACTGATATTCTTGTCAAACTCTCGTCAAGAAAGCAAGCGCATTTCTCAGAATATCAAACTATTCCTTTAAATGGTCCTTAATTCATAGAGACTCTAAATCAGGTTGAAGTCCTATTTTATCATG